TATTTATTTTCATTGTGGATGATCTGTCCATTGGTGAAAGTGGAGTGTTAAAGTCCCCTACTATGATTGTGTTACTGTCAACTTCCCCTTATGTATTGAGGTGCTCCTATGTTGGGTGCATAAATATTTACAATTGTTATATCTTCTTGGATTGATCCCTTGATCATTATGTAGTGTCCTTTTTTGTGTCCTGTAATAGTCTTTATTTTAAAGTCAATTTTGTCTGATATGGGAATTGGTACTCCCACTTCCTTTTGATTTCCATTTGCATGGAATATTTTTTTCCATCCCCTCACTTTCAGTCTGTATGTTTCCCTAGGTCTGAAGTGGGTCTCTTGTAGACAGCATATATATGGGTCTTGTTTTTATATCCATTCTGCCAGTCTGTGTCTTTTGGTTGGAGAATTTAATCCATTTACATTTAAGGGAGTTATCAATGTGTATGTTCCTATTACCATTTTCTTAATTTTGGGGGGTTTGTTATTGTAGGTCTTTTCATTCTCCTGTGTTTCCTACCTAGAGAAGTCCCTTTAGCATTTGTTGTAAAGCTGGTTTGGTTGTGCTGAATTCTCTTAGCTTTTGCTTGTCTGTAAATGTTTTAATTTCTCTGTTGAATCTTGCTGGGTAGAGTAATCTTGGTTGTACGTTTTCCCCTTTCATTGCTTTAAATATGTCCTGCCACTCCCTTCTGGCTTGCAGAGTTTCTGCTGAAAGATCAGCTGTTAACCTTATGGGGATTCCCTTTTATGTTATTTGTTGTTTTTCCCTTGTTACTTTTAATATTTTTTCTTTGTGTTTAATTTTTGATAGTTTGATTAATATCTGTCTTGGGTTGTTTCTCCTTAGATTTATCCTGTGTGGGACTCTCTGTACTTCCTGGACTTGATTATTTCCTTTTCCATATTAGGGAAGTTTTCAACTACAATCTCTTCCAGTATTTTCTCAGTGCCTTCTTTTTCTCTTCTTCTTCTGGGACCCCTATAATTCGAATGTTGGTGCATTTAATATTGTCCCTGAGGTCTCTGAGACTGTCCTCAATTCTTTTCATTCTTTTTTCTTTATTATGCTCTGTGGTAGTTATTTCCACTATTTTATCTTCCAGGTCACTTATCCGTTTTTCTACCTCAGTTATTCTGCTATTGATTCCTTCTAGAGAATTTTTAATTTCATTTATTGTGTTGTTCATCATTGTTTGTTTGCTGTTTAGTTCTTCTAGATCCTTGTTAAACTTTTCTTGTATTTTCTCCATTGTATTTCCAAGATTTTGGATCATCTTTACTCTCATTATTCTGAATTCTTTTTCAGATAGACTGCCTGTTTTCTCTTCATTTGTTTGGTCTAGTGGGTTTTTAACCTTGCTCTACCATCTGCTGTGTGTTTCTCTTCCTATTTTGCTTACCTCACTGCGTTTGGCATCTCCTTTTCGCAGGCTACAGGTTCATAGTTCCCATTGTTTTTGGTGTCTGCTCCCAGTGGCTAAGGTTGGTTCACTGGGTTGTGTAGCCTTCCTGGTGGAGGGCACTGGTGCCTGTTTTCTGGTGGATGAGGTTGGATCTTGTCCTTCTGGTAGGCAGGACCGCATCCAGCGGTGTGTTTTTGGGTGTCTGTGACCTTACTATGATTTTAGGCAGCCTCTCTGCTAATGGGTGCGGTTGTGTTCCGTCTTGTTAGTTTTTTTTGGCATAGGGTGTCCAGCACTGTACCTTGCTGGTTGTTGAATGCAGCTGGGTCTTAGCATTGAGATGGAGATCTCTGGGAGAGCTTTCACTGTTTGATATTACGTGTAGTCGGGAGGTCTCTGGTGGACCACTGTCCTGAGATCAGCTCTGCTGCCTCAGAGGCACAGGCCTGACACATGCCTGGAGCGCCAAGACCCTGTCAGCCACACGGATCAGAAGAAAAGAGAGAGAAAAAGAAAGAAAGAAAGAAAGAAAAAATAAAATAGTTATTAAAATTTAAAAATTATTAAAAAATTAAAAATAATAAAAAAGAAAGAAAGAGCAACCAAACCAAAAAACAAATCCACCAATGATAACAAGCTCTAAAAGCTGTACTAAAAAAACCAAAAAATGCAAAATAAAAAAACTGACTGACAGATCCCTAGGACAAATGGTAAAAGCAATGTTACATAGACAAAATCACACAAAAAAGCATACACATACACACTCAGAAAAAGAGAAAAAGGAAAAAAATATATCTATATATAAAAAAAAGCAAGAGAGCAACTAAATCAATAAACAAATGTACCAATGATAATAAAGTCTAAATACTATACAAAGGTAAACAAACCAGAAACAAATTAGATGTAGAAAGCAAACCCCAAGTCTACAGTTGCTCCCAAAGTCCACCCCCCTCAATTTGGGATGATTCGTTGTTTATTCAGGTATTCCACAGATGCAGGGTACATCAGGTTGACTGTGGAGATTTAATCCTCTGCTCCTGAGGCTGCCGGGAGAGATTTCCCTTCCTCTTCTTTGTTCGCACAGCTCCTGGGGTTCAGCTTTGGATTTGGCCCTGCCTCTTTGTGTAGGTTGCCTGAGGGCATCTCTTGTTCGCTCAGACAGGGCAGGGTTAAAGGAGCAGCTGATTTGGGGGCTCTGGCTCACTTAGGCCGGGGGGAGGGAGGGGTATGGAATGCGGGGTGAGCCTGTGGCGGCAGAGGCCAGCGTGACGTTGCACCAGCCTCAGGCGTGCTGTGTGTTCTCCTGGAGAAGTTGTCCCTGCATCACGGGATCATGGCAGTGGCAGGCTGCACAGGCTCCCAGGAGGGGAGGTGTGGATAGTGACTTGTGCTTGCACACAGCCTTCTTGGTGGCTGCAGCAGCAGCCTTAGCGTTTCTTGCCCGTCTCTGGTGTCCGCGCTGATAGCCGCGGCTCACGTCCGTCTCTGGAGCTCGTTTAGGGGGTGCTCTGAATCCCCTTTCCTCGCGCACCCCGAAACAATGATCTCTTGCCTCTTAGGCAGGTCCAGAATTTTTCCTGGACTCCCTCCCCGCTAGCTGTGGTGCAGTAGCCCCCTTCAGGCTGTGTTCATGCAGCCAGCCCCAGTCCTCTCCCTGGGGTCTGACATCTGAAGCCTGAGCCTCAGCTCCCAGCCCCCATCTGTCCTGGCTGGTGGGTGAGCAGAGAAGCCTCTCGGGCTAGTGAGTGCCAGTCGGCGCCGATCCTCTGTGCGGGAATCTCTCCACTTTGCCCTCCGCACCCCTGTGGCTGCGCTCTCCTCCGTGGCTCTGAAGCTTCCCCCTCCCCACCCAACCCCTGTCTCCGCCCGGGAAGGGGCTTCCTAGTGTATGGAAACTTTTCCTCCTTCACAGCTCCCTTCCAGAGGGGCAGGTCCCATCCCTATTCTTTTGTCTCTGTTTTTTCTTTTTTCTTTTGCCCTATCCCAGGTGCATGGTGATTTTCTTGCCTTTTGGGAAGTCTGAGGTCTTCTTCCAGCGTTCAGTAGGTGTTCTGTAGGAGTTGTTCCACATGTAGATGTATTTCTGATGTATTTGTGGGGAGGGAGGTGATCTCAACGTCTTAACTCCTCCACCATCTTGAAGGTCTCTCTGGGAAGCGATTACTTTTAAGACACACAGGTGAATCTGTTCTCAGGCAGATTTGTATTTTTTAAGTTCTGTATAAATACTCCCTTAAAACTGTCTATGGTTTCGCATTCCTTTTAAAGTCTTTGTCTTCAGAAATATTCTCCACCAACTTGAAGAATACTGTTCTACCCTATTCTTATTCCTTTATGCATAAAATAGCCTTGCAGAGCATGCCTTTTATTCATACGTGTATTGTGTGCAGGGATGTTACTATGTTGGTGAACTTTATGTTCAAGTGAACTTGACCACCCCACTTGACCACGTTTACCAGAAACTCCCTGCCTGTGCACTTGTGTTCTATCAATACATCCCTCTCCTGCACGCATGATGGGTTTCTGTTGGTGCCCATATTCAACCTCAGAATACTTTACAACTGGCAACTTATACTAGTTGATTGGAGCTGGCGTTGGAGGCAATTCTCTGTCCTAGCAATTTTATTAGTTTTCTCAGTCAGCACACTTGTATCTTTTCCCTTTTTACAGTTCAGATTTTTAAATTTTTATTTATTAATGAGGTTTTCTTTGGTTAAACTTATTATCCTTAAGTCAGATTGGAAATGTGTTTGTAGACAGTCCTCTATGGGTCTCTTGCTTTTCTTATACTTTGTGAACTGAAGTTTGGTTGCCTTTGATCTGGTTTGTTTTTTCAATGTAATTCCTATAGTGAGCAGTATTGGAAGACTTAGTGATTCCCAGAGCAATGGTTAGATTTGCATATGACCTTGGAAGATAAGAGCTGGTCATATGGGGTAGGTATGGTTACTGCCCCACTGCAGGGATTCATGTTCCCAAATCTCAGGGCTTCTGCTGTGTGTGCAGGTGTCAGCTGGCCCCACTTAAGTTGCTCTGTGAAAATTGGGACTCAGGGAACTGGAGCAAGAAAACACTGGGATTCTGTCCACTTCTGTTGTTGTGATAAATTCCTGTGGTCCTGCTTCTGACTGCATTCAGCAGGTTGTCATAGACTAACTTGTTAGCTTGAAGTGGTAGGCTAAAATCTCAGGTCCTTCATCGTTCTTGGCAATAGGTAGGAAATACAAATAAAGAAGCAAATAAATAGCTATCAGAGTTCAGTTCAGAAATGTCATTTTATTCATGTTTTTCCTTTAAAAACTACATTATATATTATTTTTATAAATGTAGCATAGATTTTTCAGATTTTATAGGCTAAAATAAAGCTTTAACATAATTTTGCTATTCATATTTAATGACAGTTTTAAAAGCATAATAAGCCATCTGCTTTTTCATATGCATATAAACTTGTATGTATATATGTATATATATGCATATATTGGGGGTGTGTGTTTGGTTTTGAAAAACCAAATCAGTCTTGCTTTGCTTTATCACATTTTCAAGAAATAATCTTAATTCCACATATGCCATCATGATGTATTATTTGCCTCTATTCCAGAATATTGGAAAGAAGATGACCTGCCAAGAGTTCATTGCAAACCTCCAAGGGGTAGATGAGGGTGGTGATTTCTCCAAGGATCTACTGAAAGTAAGCATTGAAATACTGGTATTTATTTATTTATTTATTCATATATTGAAGTATAGTTGATTTACAATATTATATTAGTTTCAGGTATACAACATAATGATTCAATATTTTTATAGATTATACTTCATTTAAAGTTATTATAAAATATTGACTATATTTCCTTTGTTGTACCATATATTCTTATAACATTTTTTTTTATGCTTAGTAGTTTGTACCTCTTAATCCCCTACCCTTAAATACTGGTTTTTAAAATATGCTTGTATTTTCTACTTACCTTTTAATCTAAAATAGGCTAAGATCACTTACGTATTTTGTTTTTTTCTTTTAGTTTTATTGGTGATGTTTCTGTTGGACATTGTCCTTGATGCGTCAGACTGCAAAGTACCCTTTGATTAAGAATTCCTAAAAGTCCACATTGTAATTGATAATACTGAGATAATAAGTAGATTTGGAATAATTGCTGATACAAATAGTGGGCATTTTTTGATTTACTTGACTGTCAGAACTTGAGAAAGATCACAAAGGTTTATTCCTTATGGAAACAAAAAGCATTTGCAGACACTAAAGGAAGGAGTTCTGACTCTACAGTTATTAGTCAGAAATCCACTCAGGTCACCTCTGGAAAGAGATTAAATTAAATCTGAGTAATTGTAGATTTCCTGAATTATTTGCACTCAGCTTTATTATTGGTAACAATTAGCATCTTTTTCCCTCTAGTCAGATTGTTTTCTAGGAGACAGAAACATCAAGTTTGGAATTCATAGCATCCTGCAGCAGTATAAATGAGATGTGCATTTGATCAAGTGATTGATAATGGATGTGAATATTTTAGAAGTTCAGGATAAGATGTGTATGTTGAGAATGTGATTTTTACAGATTTCTGTTTGATTCTAACTTTCTTTTTAAAAACTTTGTACACATGTATATTTCTTTTGGATTCAGTTCTTTTGACTGAATTTGCTAAGAAGGGCAACACATTTGAATCATGGTATAATATGGAAATGTACCAGTTGAAAGATAAGTCCTTTATTATGTTTTTTTGTGACTTTTAAACTACATAATATGTAGAATCAAGTTCTGCCAGAGTTGGAAAGACATATATACTTTGAAAAATGAAAGAAGGTGTAAAAATGGTATTATGAGATTCCAAGTCTTACTGGCTTTAATTGCAGCTCATTAAAAAATTATATTATGAAAAAAGCAGGAAGAAATGTATCTTCAGCTTACTATATAAGGAAGGTATTTTTTAAGCCTTTTCTTTATAGAATAAATGCTGCTGTTTCTGAAGCTACAATTCCAAATGGGAATGGGAAGTAAAAGGTGTTGGATTCAGACTTAATAAATATGTTCTGTGCATCCATGGAAGTTATACAGTAGACACATGTTAACAGGTCTTTTTTCAGTCTAGTGGTACTTGGAAAATAACAGTCTTTCTAGGAGAGGATTTGTGAGGCTTTTATCAAGTTATATCAGAAATGAAAATTGACAGGTATAATTTTTATAGTGAAGCTCTTAGACTTTAGTGGTAACGTTTGTGACTGTGGGTACATAGTGGGCAGATTTAGAGCATGTTTGATGGAGCTTTCTGAACCAAATGTAGTTAATGTACAGTGCAGTGGCTACCATTCTCCTTGGGGTAAACATGTTCTTCGATTTAGTCAGCGAAGAATTTGCTGGATGATTTGTCACAGTTGTACAGTTTGAGATCACGTTTACAAATCTCAGGGAAAAATATGTGTTATACTGTTCTTTATTTACTGTGTGGGAAGATGACAGTGAAATGACACTGAAAATGACAGTGGTATTTAGCATGGAAATTGTCAAGTAAAATATTGATTCCTTTTTATAACAAACCCCAGCCACTCACCCATCCAAGAGGAGAGTTTTCCATTTCAGTAGGAATCTGGATTTTATTGCAGATTCTTCAAACCATTGGTTTCATTTCACTCTTCTGTGTGGCCAGCCCTCTACCCTGCTCCTTCTCCCTTTCCCTCCCTTTCTGCCTCCCTCTTTCTTCCTCTCTGTTTCTCTTTACTTCTGTCTCTTCCTTTCTCCTTTGTTTTCTCTTTGTCTCTTTCATATCTTTCTTTCTCTCCTCCCCTCCCACCAAAACGCTCTCTCTCTCTTTCAATAGCTAACTCTTCATTCCTTGTTGAGATAAATTATTGGGTGGAATATTAATTGGCATTTGGGGGGACAATATTATACACATGCCACACAGACAGATACATACGTACAGATAAACACAAACACGTTTGGTATCATCTTACAGGTTCTGAGTAACCCCTTTCTGTCTTCTGCCACCCCCTCTCCAACTTAAAAAATTACAGGCATGTCCTACATGCAGTTTAATTTATGACGTAAGATGTTTAAAGTTACGTGGATCAAACCAATAAATGGTTATTGCTACATATTGACCTTATTACTTTTAGATTTCTTTGGATCAAAAGTAGCATTTGGATTTATGTCTGTTGTTCAGATTTCTTTGGACCAGAAGTAACATTTCGACTTACATCTGTTCAGTGTGGTTGCATAGTCAGGAATACTTATTGAATGTCCACTGTGTGTTCAGGTGTGGACTTGGAGAACATGTCAGAACCAAATGGGCCCCTGTCCTCAGAGATCATAAACTACTGAAAACGATGGAGGGTCCTTTCTCCCTTAACATGGACAGTTATTCCATATTAAAATAAAAATATAAACTGAATTCTGCTGTTGTCAATGGAAATGGTTACAGGAAAATAACGTACTTAAAGGTATGCACAATGAGGAACTTGTTTCAAGCCTTCAAATTCAGAGACTCGAGTTAATATTTTGCTTTAAATTTGCCTTAAGGCACATGAAAAGGATAGATAATGGTATATTGAGCCCTTTTTCACAATTTACAATTCCACTGCTGTTTCCCTTTTCACTCAAATGACCTAAAACACATACATGAGTATATGAGTGCTTTGTGCAAATAAGAGTTCTCCCCCCGACAAGTTGCTTAGAGCATAAGTTATAGATATCTATGGTATAAAATGGAAGAAGTTGGGTACCAAAAGACAGCCAGTGATAGAATATTATTTAGGTTCTTTAAACTTGAAACTGGCTGGGAGGATGTGATGTTTGAGATGGGTCTTCATTTGAAAAATAGGTACAGTTTTAGTAGGAGACTTATTTTGATTTTTATTTAGGTTAATACTCTACTTCATCTCCCCCCTCCCCGTTCCCTCTCCATAGACATTAATGTTCTTTCTTTCTTTCTCATAAGCACCCCTGACTATTTCCTCACCAAATCAAGACCAAACTATGCCAAACCATCTGGCGTGTTTTATGGCTCCACAGGGCCTCCCCATCCCAATGCTTGGATGTGGTTTGCCTTCAGGCATCATTGGGGATGAGGTGGAAAAAGTTCTGATAGATTTAATAGGACATCCCTAAAACTCTAATAAAAATCTTCAGGACATAAATAGAAGGGGATGAGAATGTGAAATGTGGGCCAGCTCTGGGTTGGAGGCTGAACTTCCTGAGAGACATGAAAGCTTGAGGATTATGACTGTGGTCTTGGGAACTGTACAACTGGGTTCCAGTCCCAGCTCCTCTCTCTGATTAGCCTAGTGATTGTGAGCAAATTCACTTAAACTTTGTCTCTTGATTTCCTCATCTATGAAACGGGTGGTTTTATTAGCACCCACCTCATCTAGTTATTTTAATAATTGAATGAGTTAATAATATATAAACTCTTTAGAGACCTAGCATGTGTTAGGTATTATAAATTTTTATTTTTAATATTACTTTATTCTTTACCTATCTCAAAGTGGACTGGACAAGGACTCCACCCCTTCCTGTGAGTATTTCGACCCAGGGTGTTTTTTTTACATGTCCTAGGGTTGAATGGGATTAGCGTCAGTAGACAAGACCTCTGTCCCCCACCCCTTTTCAGCCTAAACACACACATTATCTTGGTCTTTAACAGGAAGCATTTGTGACCTTGACCTTGAGCATTGCCTCCTTTTGTGGTAAGATTTTTAATCCTCGTCATTTATGGCTTCCTTTCTTTCTAAAGACTTGTTGGTTCCAAAGAATGGCCATTGAAATCCTTCACAGGAGGCATTGTTCAGTGAAGTCCGTCTTGACATTGTATAGGCACCTGACAATGAACCTTGGTTAACCCTATGTTTTCTGCCTTTTTACCTTGTTAGCAACAGTGCCTTTCTCTTGCACCTTATCCCTCTTGGAACATTTTTATATCTTAGGTTTGGTTTGGGTCTTGGATGCTGCAACAGTGGAGAGACTAAGGAGAGTTTGGTCTTAAACTGGTCCTGAGATCATGAAGAACGTTTGAGGAAGCAAATAAGTTCTGGTCCTCTTAAAGATCCCAAGAAAATCCTGGGATATTAACGGGGATGTGAATTATTTGAAGTGACTTCAAATCCCGGGGGAAGAAGTGTTGCTGTATGTCTTCCTACTCTGTGCATTCTCCAAATAGAGAGCCCTGGGTCAGAAGGCTCATCAGTTTAATGGTCTTGCCCATCAGTTTCTATAGATTCTTGACTGTGTTATCCTGGGGATCTCTTCCACCTAGTCTCATCAGGGGCAGGTTCTAAGAACTAGTGAGAGTGTTGGCATGTAATCATACGCATGTTTCTGAAGCGCTTTGTATTACTCAGCCATAAAAAGAAATGAAATTGAGCTATTTGTAATGAGGTGGATAGACCTAGAGTCTGTCATACAGAGTGAAGTAAGTCAGAAAGAGAAGGACAAATACCGTATGCTAACACATATATATGGAATTTAAGGGAAAAAAAATGTTATGAAGAACCTAGGGGTAAAACAGGAATAAAGACACAGACCTACTGGAGAACAGACTTGAGGATATGGGGAGGGGGAAGGGTGAGCTGTGATAGGGCGAGAGAGAGACATGGACATATATATACTAACAAACGTAAGGTAGATAGCCAGTGGGAAGCAGACGCATGGCACAGGGATACCGGCTCGGTTCTTTGTGGCTGCCTGGA